AAATGGAATAAAAACTCCTTTCTCTGCTTCTTGACTGCCGTGAGGGGACAGCTTGCTTTACCATGTGCTCCATGCCACATGACCTTCTGAGATTGGCTCATCCTTGTTGGATGGTCAAGAACTTTATTCCTTTTATATATATATATATATATATTTTTGTTTATTTATTTGTGTATATATATATATATATATATATTTTTGTTTATATATATATATATATATATATATATATATTTACATTTACTTGACTAACAAAATATGTTGTTTTAGCAGTTTGGGCCTTGTAACATAATCTGAACAAGAGGAAAAACATGATTAACATTTTTTTTTTTAGTTTTATCTTTAGAGGGTGGTTGGGGTCTCAGAGGGCTGTCCATCTTCTGCAGGAGACATTTTTGTTGTCTTGACTCAAGTGTGAATCCATGCTATGAGTCCTTTGGGGTAGTGACTGAATAAGGTCCCCTCCGGCTGGATGTTAGTTCTTCTTTTTTGGAACCGTTTGATGTAGACTAGTCTTCTGGCTAGAATGGTTGTTAGAGATACGTAGTCTCTTGGGGCTGGTTTTCTCAAAGGAATTTATGAGCTTTAAGTTGAACCTATTGTAGAGACTTAGCAACAAGAGCAGGTTATCTTGGTAAGTGTGGAGGAAAGGCTCTGGAGGCATTAACATTTTAATCCCCCAGAGGCAATTTCTAAATTTTTGGACTCAAACTGGCCTCTATTTTTGTGATCTGATCTGATTACATATCTACACTGAGTGACTCTTTAATTTTTGTTTTCTTTTGTCTACTTTTCCTAATTTTAGGGAATTTTTCATGCTTTAGAGAAAAGGGCGATGACTGCTCTTGCTGCTTTGAGCTGAGAGGGGGTGATGTCGGTTGGGGCAATCAGTTTGGAGTCCCCTTTTAGAAATCAGTCAAGGGGTCCACGCTAAAAGTCTGGTTCGAAAAGAACAGGTTGTAAAGTCATCTAGCGGTGGGTGCTTCTATGAGAGAGAAACAAAAAGACATTAGTACTGAAATGAGATTAATACAAAATAAATGTTGGGGCATCTGGAACATGTCAATGAATATCACAAAGATGATAGAAATCAATAATCTCTTCCTTAGGAGGTGGAAGAGCTGAGAAATTGTTCCCATAACAAGGCCTAACAAAGCCTAACATGGCCTTTATTTGGGAAGTAAATCTTTAACATTGCCAGAGTTATCAGGAAAGTAAACACAACATTTGGTTAAATTGCTTAATGTCATCTGATTTTTGTAAAATATTTTATTGTCACAACCTGTGTGGTTAATAGGGGTCCATTATCTTTGTTACTTAGGGCTAGATAATTATACTAGCAAACATTGATTAAGTCTATCTGTGTAGGAGGTTGGGAAGATCTGTAGGCCTTAAACTGACTAAAAACTCCTGACTCTGGCAGTTTCTCTTGATAGTTATCAGGCACTCCTGCCTAAGAATCTCTTTTGTCACCTCCAGTCTCATTTATTCTTGGGGGGGGCTAACCCAAGTGTACATTCTAAGTTACATTAAGATAACTGTAGTTTTATAAGTGTCTAGGAATGGCTGTGTTTTGGTTTTAACTGTTTTCCGTTAGGTGCTTAACCTGAAGCTGGTCAAATTAACCTTGTTCCTTGGGGGTTACTTGTTCCTTTGTGGGTTACTCTCTGGGGAACTTATGAGCAGCCTTTAGTTCTGCTAGTGCCATCCACCAGGATAACTCAAGGTTTTGCTGACCATGTGGCTTCCCTTGGAATCCTCAGGGATGTCTGCATTTTCCAGTTATCCTCCTCTTTTGCAGTATGGGCACTGATTAGCTTTCTCTTTTAGGGACCCAATAATCTCCCTGATTGGGAGGTTCATGTGACCCAGAGTTGATGAAAAGTTCCTTTGTCCCCTGGATTCAAGCTGACTCAGAGGGCAAGAGCCAAATATTGGTTTTGTTGGCCCTTTTTACTTTAACCTTAATCTTTAAGCCTTGGTCTTAAACATCCAGTAAGCCAGTCCTACAAGTCTTAACGTATGAATACTGGGCTTTAAAAAAAATTTAGTGTTTAAAACTTTACAGTCATTTTTACCCCTTTTATTTAATTGGGGTCTGTATTAATACTGTAAGTTAGCATTATATACTGTCTATAGATGATGGCCTAATATCTCATATTAACTTAGGTTATTATAAGGCATTAGCAGATAGCAGTTAAAGTTTGCAAGGAAAATTTAAAATGAAATTAACAAGAGTAAAAACATATTTAGTTTGTATACAGTCTTGAACCTTGGCTGATTATATGTTATATCCCCTGTTTGAGATCACAATAATTTTTACAATAAATATCAATCTTTTGAATATAACTTTAAATGAGCTGAAGCCTGGCCTATTTTAAAGCCATTCTAACATGTAGTAAGGTGGGAGGCAGAGCCTTTACTCAGGTAAGGTGGGGTTCTTCACAAATCTTAGGTGAAGCGTTCTAGTTCTGAAGTTGATCCTTGCCTCTTTCTTAGATCCATTTTATAAAGTTTACATAATATTGTTTCCTGAGTCTATATAATGTTA